TCCCGCTCCCCAAATTAATTTTAATGAAGAATAATGAAAACTCTGGATTATTTTCAAGGTATGACAAAAAGTTTCGTGTACACTTTGGAGTTTACAGATGTTTCTCAGTTTGTTTGGAAACTCCAATGTGTTTTTTATTCTAGTATATGTGGAACTTGTTTTTTAGTCTGTATGCGACCATTGGAAATAAGGCCATAAAGCTGAAAAAATTCCCAATCTGGATTAATCAAGAACCCTATCAGTAGCGGATATTTGTAACTGTGTCTTGGTCATGATGCCTATGATCCCATTCAATATGGGAAACGTTTCCAACCTCAAGTCTTTGGGAGCACCTTCTTACGACGTTTTTGGATGCTACCTTTTTACGTTCTTGTGGCTAATCTTTCCTTGTGAATGGCATCGTACACGATGTACAGAAAATGTACAAACAATTTATTTATGCATTGTTTGTTTTTTGCTATTGGGTACTTTCCCTTTTGGGTTATAGTTATCACTATAACCCAAAAGCGAAAGTACCCAATAGCGAAAATGCAATAGCAATGTGTCTCCAGATAAAATTTTTCCGCCACTTAACTCAATAGATACTTGCCACATAGTAATTAAATGTCGTGTTCTTGTGTGTTTGTAGTTTATTGTTCTCTTATCAGCTAACAGTGATAAAGGGCTCTTTTCCTATATATTTTGTTCAGCAAGGTGACAAGGGAAAATACTTTAATTTGAATAAACCGTTTAAGAATTGTAATTACAATATCTCAGTGTTCCTCAAATACTATGTCAATAATTCGAATAGTTCTTTAACTGTAAACTTTAACTGCAAATTCAGTTGTTCTCAAACCAAAAAGGGTAACCTCCCTTCAATATCTCCACTCTTAAGTATCCCCAGAAAGTATTAACAATCTCCCACTCTTCCGAGCAAATCTATAAACGATTTCCTAAACTATCCTTCCAGTAATCATAACAGAGGTGTTAAATTGAACTCTCTGATAACCAAAACAGAGATGTTAAAATAAACTCTCTGCTCCTCCAAAACTCTATGTGCTAAATAATTCCTAAACTATCCTCCTATAGCCAAAACAGAAATGTTAAACTGAACTCTCTGATAACCAAAACAGAGATGTTAAAATAAACTTTCTGTTTCCCTAAAACTCTCTGCTCTTAACAATATCTTTAACTATCCTCCTTGTAACTAAAACAGAGGTGTTAAACTAAACTCTCTGCACTACCCTGCTGTACTAAATGTCGTACATTAATATATGCCCTAAAATACTACCCTTAAATACTGGACTAATACTGTCATGCATATAAACTTAAGATATAAAACCCAACGTCAATCTATATTAGAATCTAAACCGTCTATCGAGTCCATTGCCATTAGGGCTCCACTTCTCGCGATCTCCTCTGCGCATCCCTTCGTCTTATCTCTGTATTTTCCTCTCTCCACGTCCTTCTTCACGGTCCTTTCTATTCATTGTTTTAATAAAGGGTTAGATTATGATCAATAGACGCATACAATTGCATGCGACTATTATTAGATTGCTACATCAAGATTGTTCAAGAACCATAATCTCCTCATCAGTTCACTCAACTCTTCTTCTACCAGTCCATCCGTCATATCTTCTTCATCCTCCCATAATTCCCTCACTATATCTACTAAACTTCTACAGCCACGGGAGAATTCCCCCGCTCTGTTCTTAATGTAAAACTCTAGCATCTTCTTCCTCTCCTTCCTGTTGTTTTTGTCGCGTTTCCATTCCACCGCTGCTCTTTCCTCCTCAGTTATCCCGTAGCACACATCTTTGGCCGTCAACTCCACTCTCAGTGCTAGTCTATTCAAGACTCTGATGAAATCCTCTTTGTCTTCAACAAACACTCCCAACTCCGTACTGATTATTTTTGATACTTGCTGCTTTGCCTTAGAGGGAATTCCCTCGGGCAAGGTAGCCGCATCGAAGTCCATCTCCGCTCCCTCGATCTTTGCCTCTTTCAGCCTCCCCATAAACACTGGCTCCGGTCTTATCGTGCTCCTTGCTCCTATATGCTTGCTCCAATTATCTATACTTTCGAGCAAATCCCCTAAGTATAATCCCCGTTCTCCAATTTGCCTAGGAACCTTAGATAATTGAATCCTGATGTTTTCTTTCTGTCTTTCTCTGCATCTTTCTTCAGTTTCTTTTCGCATGACTTCCTGCTGTTTCCTCATCATTTCTACTCTTAGTTCTTCCCTCCTACATTCCTCTTCTTCTTTGATCCTCTTCATTTCTTCATTTCATCTCTTCTCTTCTTGTACTTCAATATCTCCATCTTTCTGCTTCCCTCTGTTCTTCTTGCCTGCGCTGTCTTTCCTCTTCTTCCACTGCTCTTCTTTCCTCTTCTTTTCTTTTTGTCAGGCTTCTCAATCTCTGTCTCTCCGCTGCTTCTTCTCTTTCACGCGCATCTCCATCTCTTCTGTTGTCTCCGTGCCATCTTTCATTTCCCCTCCGTCTGTCTCGTGCATTATAATAATGTCTTTCTGGCTGCGCTCTCCATTCTTGTTGCCTGCGATGTCTATTTCCTTCCTCTGCCAATCTCTGCTGGATCATTTCTCTTCTTTCCGCCAAGTTTCTTCTTCTTCGTCTTTCCGCTTCTTCACGTGCATCTCTTTCTCTTCTTTTTCTGTTTTCTTCGTCTTTTCTGTCATCTTCCTGCCGTTCTCTCTCCCAGTGAGCAATTCCTCATGCTGTTCTGTCGACGCTCCCTTCCTCCTTGAATCCCCGCGTCACTTGTACGATTTCCTTGTTCTTAGATTGACTCTGCATCAATTGATCTACATTTCCGGGCTTAGGTTTTAACGGAATTCCGTTAAGCCTATTTTGTTTGTAGTTTTCTATGTGCCCTCTGCTTATCCCGTACTTCATTGGGATGACACTTTTCAATCCGCTGTATCGATGGTCTTCTGTCCTGCTGCTATTGAATGACTTTCCTGGATTCATGATCATAAAGAAATTTTCTTTATATCGATCATGCCCAGAGCAGGCGTCCCAAGTTAGCATCGCTCCCCACGGATCCGCAATTGTTACGAACAATCCCAGAAACTCCCACAGCACATCCCATTTCTTCCTCTCCTCCGTGGATATGCTGTCTGATATGAGAGAGTCTCGTAACTGCCTGTTCATAATCCTTAGTGATGCCAAGGTTACGCTAATGGGTCCCTCCAATTTATCTGTTATCTTCTTTTTCCATGAACTGCTTCCCGAATCATCCTCTTTATTTTTCCTTAGTTCTTCTTCGCCGTATTTTACTACAATTTAGTTCTTTATCATTTCCTCTTTCCGTATCTTCATACCCTTCATGTGTTTTCCGGTTTTGCCGACAAAGGGAATTCCCTTCATCGACAGAATCTTTCACGCTTTCCACATCCTCCTTTTCGTCAGACCAGATATCTTCCATTTGGTCCTCTATTTCTACTGCAATCCGTTCGTTCTCTGCATTTTCAAGTTTATACGATATTAAGCAAATACGAGCGTCAATCAAATTGTGATGAAACCCGTATCCAAACCCCTTTAGCAGTTTAGTAGCCCTCACACAATTGCGTGAGGGCTCCCCAGCACGTGACATTACGTGTTTTAAAGGGATGCACATTTGTTTAACTTCAATCCTCTCAGGTTGCACAAGTAGCCTCAATATTTTGATTTCTTTTGTCAATCTCCGATATACCATGAGCACCATGATACCCAACACAGCAAGTGTTAAAACTATTGCGACCAGTACTGCCCATATCATAACATTTAAGTGCACATTGGACCTATTATTCCAGTCGTCCACGGGGGCAAAATACTCTCCAAAGTTTTATTATACTTTCTACAAATCCCCGTCAAAGAGTCTGTGACATTTGTTTCGTCTAGATAAAAATCTAGCGACGAAAGATTGAAGCTTAACTAAGAGGGGTACATTGGGATCGACTCCGAATTTGGAGATTCGATCAACGTGTTTCCTATCTGCACACCTTTTATGGAATCCCACGCAATATATGCAGTCCCTGCCTCCGATAAGTTTACCAAACTAGGACTCTAGGAGGCAAACCTACCTGTACTAATTACATACGTATCCAAATAGTTGTTGGTTCTTATTAAGATTCCTAGCTCTCTAGCTGTGACATATTATACTGGTAATAATTCCTACCCTTTGTACGCTTGATCCAACACGTGATGCTCCCCCGCTGGATGCAAGATGTTTGATTTGAAAAATTTTCCACAGGGCAAACGTACAAATCGTTGTGCGTCTTGCAATTGTGTGTAATGAATTCGAACAGAATTCCATCCTTCAAATACAACAAATCATGTAATTCATAGTACACACACAGATCCTCCTGTCTATTTGCGACCATGCCAACTTGTGCCGCTTCAAATGTCTCTAGAAGATCTTCCCTGTCTTCTAGAGATCTTCCCTGACGAATTAACGGAACGTCTAAAATAAAATGTGCTACGTCCAAACTTGAACTCACCTCGAACAGATGCACATTTGCTAACGAGTAAAGTAAACTGGGGTGCTCACTGAAAATTGTAGGGTTCCTATCTACTATTTTCTTCAGTGTACCTATACCTGCCATCTTAGGGAAAGCAATAAGTCGGTTGTTCCCGTAAGAGCTGTCCACAAAACATTGTTTATGGTCTCTTGGGTCTCTTCAAACCCCTTTTCTACCATTCTACTCATTCCATGAAAGAGTATCATGCACTCCTCTCTCTTAAAATACTCACTCAACTTTGCAGTAATTACTGTGACAAATCCTACCACCTTCTCACCCAAAGCTGTTATTTCATCTTGCAAATGCAAGATCTTACTCTCCATGTCTGAGATGGTCATTTCGTTTTCTGACACGTGTTTCTTAATCTTGTAGATCTGATATTCTGTCACACTCTCCATATAGCCAGGGAAATCCCTGCGCCTGTCAGGAATGGCAAAATTTGCCGCTTTTTTTCTGTCTTTGTCCTCGTTATCTTCCGCATCATTTTTTAAGAAGGCTCTTAAAACTTTAAAATATTGAGCCTCGTTGCTATAAAATCATTGAATTTGTCGTTTAAATTGACGATCATTTGGCTCATGTCCGATCTGAAATCTAGATCGTCCATCGCGTTGCATTCCACGATGTGATCAAATGCCGATTGCAGGGGCTTCAAAATGTCCATCTGGGTGGGCAGTTAGATTATCATAGAAATTATTATCTTGTCATTCACCATGACCGCTCTGCCCGACTTTTCTATTTTACACCAATCTCAGATGCAATGATGTCCCTCTGAGATCCTTTCTTTTGAAACGCGGCACTTGCCGTGCGGCACGGCCCGTGTCCAACATTATCCATATCACCAAGTTGTAAATAACCATGTTCTAAATGATGTCAAGATTAGTAAGTAAAGTGTTGTTATGATTCGAACTGAAAGAGGTAGCTTATCTCCAGAATACGGTAGGAATCAACACTCAGGCGCCTAGTAATACAATATGACTGTTAAAACAAAAAGGCAACAACAAGGTTTATCATTACACTATTACAATATACTTTTCAAATTCCTGAATCCTGATACCGTGATTTTGTTGTAAATATTTAAACAAAATACCATTGAGCACAAAGTCGATCAAAATAGCGCTCGTAAATCTTTGCATGTGCAGTGTGCACGTGCGCGTTCAACACCGTTACCATGGTAACTATGCAACTCCTATTTGTTTGCCTAATTTGCACGTGGGCGGTCGTACATACAGACAGAAAAAAAAAAACAATTTTTCGAATTATAGTTATGACTAGAAAGTCCGTAGTACAGGATGAAGCTAATAGTATTCTTTGGTAGTCAGTTTTTATCGCATAAAAAAATATCCGTCACAACCGAAGATACAGCCGATGAAATGTAGCTTGCACTGTTAACACAACGTAATTACTACAAAGTCGATCAAAATATCGATCGTAAATCTTTGCATGTGCACGTGCGCGTTCAACACCGTTACCATGGTAACTATGCAACTTCTATTTGTTTTCCTAATTTGCACGTGGGCGGTCGTACATACTGATACAGACAGACAGAAAAAAATCTTTTGAATTATAAATATAATATTGATAGAAAGCCCGTGGTAACAGGGATGAAGCTAGTAGTATTCTTTGAAAGAAAGTTTTAATCGCATCAAAAAATATCCATCCGAACCGAAGATACAGCCGATGTAAAATAAATGTAAAACGTAATTACCACAGAACCGATCAGAACCGATCAAAATGCCGTTCCAACGACCAACAATCTTTCCACGTGCAAGTGCTCATTCCAACACCATTGCAAATTTGCACGTGGGCGGTCGTACGTACATACACTGTTATAAATAGTCACATACCTGTAGTCCAATCACTGGTCCCCCCTGTTGGTAGAGGTACGGTGCTAACATGGGTAGGAGCTCACTAAACCAAGTCAGAACGTTCTTCAGATAAACTGTTTCTGACGTCCTGAAACTGTACAACAGCTTAGTGTAACGTTTAGAGTTAACTAATCTTGTGAGCTTAGTATAACATGTAGAGTTAACTAATCTTGTGAGCTAATTACGGTAAAATGTAGAGTTAACTAATCTTGTGAGCTTAGTGTAAAATGTAGAGTTAACTAATCTTGTGAGCTTAGTGTAAAATGTAGAGTTAACTAATCTTGTGAGCTTAGTGTAAAATGTAGAGTTAACTAATCTTGTGAGCTTACGGTAAAATGTAGAGTTAACTTATTATATCTTGTGAGCTTATTCACACACCACAGTTCACAGTATTGATGAGTATATTCAGCAGTAAATATATGTCCTGATAATACACCTCCTGAAGATACACACTAAACACTGCACAGTATGAAGAGTCGTCTTAAAATCAAACAGTAGAGGATTATTTTAGTCATTGTAGGTCTATAGAATATATTAATATATAAACTATGCATTGTATTGATAGTAGAGCACGTGCGAGCTACACTTCACGTGAAAGTTCCACTGCCTCCTAACGTCACACTACCTCACTACGTCACTACAGTTACCTGGCTCAGTAGTTACTGTAGACCTGGTTGTAGCTTGCTTACCTTATTGTTTTACTCTGTGTTGGTAGCCAGGATGGGAAACCGCCGAACTCGAACTCTGCCGCAATGAACGGACCTGCATAATAAATATATGAGGGTATTTACTTTATGTCAAGCTCATTAATGAATTAATTGATGGAGTGGGAATTGGGATATTGTATAATTTACATATTCAGACTTTGCCATATTAATGTACCGTGATGATAAGTAATAATACACAGTTAGAACACAGTCAAATTAGTGTTTTATCTAACCTGGTCTGAGTAAGACTAGAATGCCAAGATCCGAACAGAGTTTAAGGTAAGAGAAGAGATCCTTCCTTCCAGAGAAGTCTATTCGTCCTTTCACCGGTTCATGTTGGTTCCACGGTATGTACCTGCAATTTCATCAGGAGATTACAAGTTCACTAGGAGATTACAAGTTCGCTAGGAGATTACAAGTTCACTAGGAGATTACAAGTTCACTAGGAGATTACAAGTTCACTAGGAGATTACAAGTTCACCAGGAGATTACAAGTTCACCAGGAGATTACAAGTTCACTAGGAGATTACAAGTTCACTAGGAGATTACAAGTTCACCAGGAGATTACAAGTTCACCAGGAGATTACAAGTTCGCTAGGAGATTACAAGTTCACTAGGAGATTACAAGTTCACTAGGAGATTACAAGTTCACTAGGAGATTACAAGTTCACTAGGAGATTACAAGTTCGCTAGGAGATTACAAGTTCACCAGGAGATTACAAGTTCACTAGGAGATTACAAGTTCACTAGGAGATTACAAGTTCACTAGGAGATTACAAGTTCACTAGGAGATTACAAGTTCACCAGGAGATTACAAGTTCACCAGGAGATTACAAGTTCACCAGGAGATTACAAGTTCACCAGGAGATTACAAGTTCACCAGGAGATTACAAGTTCACTAGGAGATTACAAGTTCACTAGGAGATTACAAGTTCACTAGGAGATTACAAGTTCACTAGGAGATTACAAGTTCACTAGGAGATTACAAGTTCGCTAGGAGATTACAAGTTCACTAGGAGATTACAAGTTCACTAGGAGATTACAAGTTCACTAGGAGATTACAAGTTCACTAGGAGATTAAAAGTTCACTAGGAGATTACAAGTTCACTAGGAGATTACAAGTTCACTAGGAGATTAAAAGTTCACTAGGAGATTACAAGTTCACTAGGAGATTACAAGTTCACTAGGAGATTACAAGTTCACCAGGAGATTACAAGTTCACTATGAGATTACAAGTTCACTGTAATGATTACTTACTCTCCCTCTGTAATGACTCACTTACGTTTGAACGGTGTTAAATCCAGCCCCTTTTAACTTTAGTAACCTGTCCTTCCAATAAGGTCTTGGTATCCTGAGGAAAACTCATTTATAATCTGACAACTACTAATTGAACTATGGTCATAATAAACAGTGCACTTGCAGAACAAACCACTACCTTATCGGACGTTATTCGACCAGACATTGCGTGAACGGACATTAAAATGAACGCCCGAAAGGATTCATGATAATTATTTGTCCGTGTATATGGTAGCTATGGTTACATAGCACTACCTGTAATAGTGCTATGGTTGCTATGGTTACATAGCACTACCTGTAATAGCGCTATGGTTACTATGGTTACAAAGCACTACCTGTAATAGTGCTATGGTTACTATGGTTACATAGCACTACCTGTAATAGTGCTATGGTTACTATGGTTACATAGCACTACCTGTAATAGTGCTATGGTTGCTATGGTTACATAGCACTACCTGTAATAGCGCTATGGTTACTATTGTTACATAGCACCACCTGTAATAGTGCTATGGTTACTATGGTTACATAGCACTACCTGTAATAGTGCTATGGTTACTATGGTTACATAGCACTACCTGTAATAGTGCTATGGTTACTATGGTTACATAGCACTACCTGTAATAGTGCTATGGTTGCTATGGTTACATAGCACTACCTGTAATAGCGCTATGGTTACTATTGTTACATAGCACCACCTGTAATAGTGCTATGGTTACTATGGTTACATAGCACTACCTGTAATAGTGCTATGGTTGCTATGGTTACATAGCACTACCTGTAATAGCGCTATGGTTACTATGGTTACATAGCACTACCTGTAATAGCGCTATGGTTACTATGGTTACATAGCACTACCTGTAATAGTGCTATGGTTACTATGGTTACATAGCACTACCTGTAATAGTGCTATGGTTACTATGGTTACATAGCACTACCTGTAATAGTGCATAGAGCCGGAAATGAACTGAAACTTGAGCCCGTCCTTTCTGAAGCAGTTCTCCTTGTGATCCACCACAAAGGATCTCTTAGTTAGCGAGGTGGAGACTAACAAGAGTGCTATTAGGAACGTACAGACCACGTGACCCATCCTAAACAACAGGGGTTATGTGTGTGTGTGTGTGTGTGTGTGTGTTAGCAAGGTATATTTAAACTCAACAACCCGTCCATAATAACTTAAGAAAAGGATAATTTATAGATTATAAGTTAGTGGATTATGTTGAAGGAGAAAAAATATGACAACACTATTTTAATAATATATCGAAGATAAACATTAAACAACATACAAATATCAAATCAAAAAATCTGAATAAAATCATAAAGAATAAATAGATCTTTTTACTCGAGTTCACACTTACAATTATTAAAAGTAAATATACATATCGAATAGAGGAACTAACATTAACAATTGATAAGTTATTAATATAACAAGATTATCTAACTAAATGTACAAACAAGGATGATTAAAGTGTTGGCGGTTTGCCAGCCACTGAGTAAGCAGTATTCTAGTGGTGTGTTGCCCACGTGTACTCCACGTGACAGTGCCCACGTGACAGGGTGGGCTCAGCTGGGTACCCCCTGAGCACCATCATACATCTGTGGGCCTCTATCCGGGGCTTCATGAACTTCACATCAGTCAGGTACTCTGGGGCCCACAGTCGCTCTGCTGGAGCACTGGCACGGGGCCAAAACCGGGAGAGAATATTGGAGTTGTCTACATGCTCACCCCACATGCACACAGTCCCTCCCAACACCAGGGCTCTCTGTTCCGGGGTAGCCGTGTCGTTGAAGGAGCGGGGCTCCACCAGGTAGAAGTTCTGCCAGTCCTCCCCGTACGCGATACGACTGATGTACCAACCTGCTGAGAGGATGCACCGGAACCCTGCTGCGGTCGCATCCTGGAATATGGTCTTCCAGTTGGGTTTCCAGGCGTGAACAATGGTCTGGGGGGTAATGTCGACATGGTGGTAGAACACCTCCTCCCAGACTATGTAGTTCTTGTTAAGCGAGTTGACGATGTTAAGGAGTCTGGTCTCGTAGTAGTTCTCCAGCTGGTCGTAGTTGCCCGTCATGTTGTGGGCTGCCATCCAGGCTGTTATGTTCGGGTTGTTCTTCCAACAGGGATAATGCACTTCGTCCCCACCAAGGTGCACGAACTCACCAGGGAAAACGTTAGTTATCTCCGTAAACAGTTCCTTCAGTACCGGATATACGGCCTCGTTAGTAGGGTCTACAGGGCCGTAAGGGGCTCCAATATTACCGTGTCCTGGACAGTGCGTGAGGAAGCCAGGGAGGGCGGCCCCCCAGGAAAGGGTGTGACCAGGAGTGTCCAGCTCAGGCAGAACAATAACCCCGTGTTTGTAGGAGAAGAGGATGATCTTCAGAACATCAGACTGGGAGTAAACATGGTGAGGAGAGAAAGCTCCCTTTCTGCACAGGTCTGGGTAGACCACGCTACAGTAGGGGAAGGAGGGGTCGTCCACTATGTGCCAGTGGAACACGTTCAGTTTGGACCAGGACGCCGCCCTGATCAGCTGCTTGAGTACCCCCACACTCAGGTAGTGCCGGGAAGTGTCCAACATGAAGCCCCGGAACTTGTAGCGGGGGTAGTCCTCTATGTGGAGGGTGGGGAGAGAGTAGTTGTTGGTGTTCACTAGCTGGCTGAATGTTTCTAGTCCTCTCATAGCTCCGAATACTGTATCTGCCTGAACATGATATCTCACATTATATAACTAGCGGGCTTCAATCACAAAACACCGCCAAATACCAAAGAGTGGAGAAAAAGGGCTGAAAAGAGTTGCAGAAAAGTGAAAGAAAGAAGAAACCTGAAGAATAGCAGAGTTAGTTTGAATAGTGAGGGTGTAATTCTCACTGGTCATTAAAAGCAGCTCCTCGGCAGGGTCCTTGATAACCACCTCTAGGTTAGACAGAGTAACGTTCAGTTTCTGTACAAAATCGTGGAGTTTCAAATACTTGTGGTAGCGATCAAACACCTGGGATATGGCAATTATCACAGAACAATTATTTCTAATAAAATACTAATATAAATTAAACAGATCTGAACGGTATTAAAAGCGGGAACTATCTGGATAAACAGTTTTATTGACTCAGAAGCAATGAAGCAACTGAACCGAACAGTTATGATATCTGTTAAAGAGAAACACCAGATATTTTACCTCTTTAAGAAGCACACTGCTAGATGTGGTAGAGAAGGTGAAGGTGAGGGGGTCTATAAGAGCAGAGGAGGAGGAGAGAAGAGAGACATGTTGAGGGTAGGGGACTAGAGGTAGGTGGGGTAGATCTACTGAGTGGACTGTTACAGTGAGCAGAGAGAGTAGAGCAGGCAGCAGCATTGGTCTCTGCTAAACTAACGTCAAATAAACGGTTAGATTAGTTAGAAGGTGTGGTGTTTTTAACACAGTGAAAGTTTCAATATATCTTAATTTGAATCAATATCTAACTGATAAGAAATATTTTTATGTATTCAGTGAGAGTAAATGTTAATGTCCAAAAATGATTAAAAATGTCCATAAAAAAGCTCAATTTATCAAAAACTATCTAAATCACAATATTTCAAATTTCTGCTAACGGGTGATGAATAAAAAATGGGACTATATGTTTTTTAGCCCTCAGCTTCCACCTGAACAAAATTTTGGTATTTTACCACAACCACCAGTTACTCTGAACGATAGTCGAACAGTTTTTGCCCCCATTTGATCAACATGGTTGATCTTTGTCCCCGATAATGGTCTCGAACTAGGGGAGGGGTCCTATAAACATTTTACAGTAAAGCACTGTTCACAGAAGTCGCCTCACAGGTAGTTAAAGCTTCCATACCGAACAATTTTTAGCAGAGAGTATGCCTAAAGTTCTTATCTATCACATCCTAAATCGATTTTAGCAGCAGAGGTTGGTAGCCAGAGCTACAGAGACAAAAAGGTCATCCTGTATTATAGCACTTACGAAAATGACCCAGTAGGAACTGCTGGTAAGCCACATAACCGGCACCCTACCGAGATCCCTGGTGATCCGTTTTGGCTGTACTCTCGGTTGTATTTCCAGGGCAGTCACATGACTAAATGTTTGTTGTCTGAAAGGTGTCAAAGCCCCTAGGATTAGACATAACACCCAAAAATGGGAAGTCGTGAGCAAATTCGAAAATATGTATAGTCTTGACTAAACGCTATATTTTGCTATCGTTGAGAAGAAGTATTTCGGTCTGACTGGTGTCCATACGTCAAAAAGTAGGGAATTTTATGCTTAAGACGAGGGTTCAACACCCATCAGCGTAGCTAAAACCAGTAAGAAGATATTTGAGCTCAAAACCACCTGAGGGGTAAAATTTTACCGTGTGAAAGATCTAGGCTAGGTCAAACTATCGGCTTTAGCATGGTCTATAATGGTACCACATAAAAATCAAAGTGCTTGGAGCCTTGCCTGGTGTTGTTCATACAAGAAAATATCCCCAAAGGGTGGAAGGTGATTCGTTAGGATGGGGCTAGATCGTATTTTTCTGCGAAAACCACATCTGTACTTGCAGCCTATAGGATTAATTTCGTCCCAAAAGTGATCGACCAACGTAAATTTTGACAATCTCAACCCATAGAGGACTTCTTTAGAGTCCTGGCAACACATGTACATGCCCAAAATATGGCTAACAAGCATACATGGGCCCTAGGGCACAAAAGAAGAGACTGCGCCAACACGATTTTAGGCCCAACTGTACAGACGAATTTTTGAGCTTGAAGAAAGAAGCCCTCCCGAACCAATCAAAATGGGCTCATGGGCGCTTGTCATTGACCATACTTGTTCAAAATTGCCCGCTTTACAACGCTGTTTCATTGGTTTGAACCAAAAATAGTTTTATCGACACTAAAAATACCCTTGAAAAAAGTCCCCTTTTTTAGTCATCACCCGTTAATACAGTAATATGAAATTTGTGTCAACATTAACAATTGATAAGTTATTAATATAACAAAATGATTTAACTAAATGTACAAACAAGGATGATTAACAGAGTTGGCGGTTTGCCAGCCACTGAGTAAGCAGTATTCTAGTGGTGTGTTGCCCACGTGTACTCCACGTTACAGTGCCCACGTGACAGGGTGGGCTCAGCTGGGTACCCCCTGCGCACCATCCTACATCTGTGGGCCTCTATCCGGGGCTCCATGAACTTCACATCAGTCAGGTACTCTGGGGCCCACAGTCGCTCTGCTGGAGCACTGGCACGGGGCCAGGTTCTATGGAGGACGTTAGTGTTGTCCACGTACTCCCCCCACATACAGATAGTGCCCCCCAGTACCAGCTGCTGCTGGGAGTAGGGAGCCGTCACGTTAAAGGACCTGGGGTCACACTTGTAGAACCGCCGCCAATCCTCCCCGTAGGATATGCGGTTCAGATACCAGCACGCTGAGAGAATGCACCTGTAGCCCTCCGAGGTGGCATTTTGAAACACCTTCTTCCAGTTGGGTAGCCAGGCGTGTATAATGGTCTCCGGGGTTATGTCTAGGTGATGAGTGTAGATTTCTTCCCACACAATGTAGTTCTTGTTCAAAGAGTTCACTATTTTCAACAACCTCGTTTCGTAATAGTCCTCCAATGCTTCATAATTTCCAGAAATGTTATGAACTGCCATCCAATTAGTAAGATTCTGATCACTCTTCCAACATCCGTAGTGTACTTCATCACCACCTAAATGTACAAATTCTGAAGGGAAAACGTTTGTAATTTCAGTGAACAGTTTCTTAAGTACAGGGTAGACAGCTTCGTTACTCGGGTCAATAGGCCCATAATCTGAGCCAATATTACCGTGTCCTGGACAGTGAGTGAGGAAGCCAGGGAGGGCGGCCCCCCAGGAAAGGGTGTGACCAGGAGTGTCCAGCTCAGGCAGAACAATAACCCCGTGTTTGTAGGAGAAGAGGATGATCTCCAGAACATCAGACTGGGAGTAAACATGGTGAGGGAAAGAAAGCTCCCTTTCTGCACAGGTCTGGGTAGACCACGCTCCCAGTAGGGGAAGGGGGGGTCGCCCCACAAATGTGCCAGGGGGACACGTCCGTTTTAAACCCCGGAGGGCCCCCCTGATCATTTTGTTGGGAGTCCCCCCCCTTTTAGGGGGCCGGGGTTTCTAAAAAGAACCCCCCGGGAAAATTTTAAAAAAAGTGCGGGGTTCCCTATGTGGGGGTGGGGAGAAGAGTGTTTTTGGGTTGAACACTGCGGCTAAAAGAAACTAGTCCCCCCAAAAAGCTCCACAATGAAACTGCCTGAAAAAGCTATCACACATTTTTTTAACCCGGGGGGGGGGGGCCCTTAAAACACAAAACCCCGCCAAAAATCCCAAAAGGGGAGGGGGAAAGGGGCTGAAAAGATTTGGGCGGGGAGAAAAAACATTTAAAAAAGCAAAAACCCCTGAAAAATGCAGATTTTGGTTTTTGACTTTGGAAGGGGAAAATTCCCTCACTGGCTTTAAAGCACCCCCGGGCCGGGACCCTTGAAACCCCCTCAAGGTTAGAAAGTTTTAAAGGGGTTCCAGTTTTTCCTGCCAAAAAATCGTGGAGTTTCAAAAAACCTTGGGGTTTTGCGAAAACCCACCTGGGAAAAGGGCAATTATCACAGAACCATTTTTTTCCCTAATAAAAAATTTAATTTAAAATTTAAAAACAGTTCGGAACGGTTTTAAAGGGGGAAAACAATCTGGAAAAAATTTTTTTAAAATTTGCCCGGACCAAGCCTAAAGGAAACCCTGAGCCCCCCCCTTTAAATGCATCTTTTTTAAAGGGAGAACCCCCAGATATTTTCCCTCTTTAAGAAGCACACTGCTAATGGGGTTTAGAAAAGGTAAAAAGGTGAGGGGGGTTATAAAAAGCAAAGAGGAGGGGAGGGAGAAGGGGAAAACATGTTGGGGGGGGAAACGGGAGGGGAGGGGTAGATCTCCGGTTTTACCTTTAAAAAGGAAAGAGAGGGGGCCGAGCGGGGGAAAGCACATTGGTCCCCTTGTAAACAAACCGCAAATCCCCCTTTGGGACTTTTTTAAAATGTTTGGTGTTTTAAAACCACAGTAAAAAGGCCAATATATCAAAATTTTGGGAATCAATATCTAATTTGTAAAAAAATATTTTATGTATTCAGTGAGGTAATGTTAAACCCAAAAATGTTTAAAAATGCCCAAAAACAACCCCCTTTTTTAACAAAAACAAATCTAAACCCCAAATATTTCAAATTTCTGCAAAATTCATTAAATGAAATTTTTTGTAAAACATTAAAAATTTAAAAGGTTATTAAAAAAAACAAAATTATTAACAAAATTTTACAAAATAAGGATGTTTAAAACCGAGTTGGCGGTTTCCCACCCCACTGAGAAAGCAGTTTTCTTTGGTGTTTTGGGCCCACGTGTCCCCCCCACGTGCCCGGGGCCCGGGGGACAGGGGGGGGCCCCCGGCTGGGTCCCCCCCTGGCCCCCCTTCCAACATCTGTGGGCCCTATCCGGGGCCCCCATGAACTTCAATCGGGTCAGGTACTCGGGGGGCCCAAAAGTCGCTCTGCTGGGGCACTGGCAGGGGGGGCCGGGTTTCTATGGGGGGACTTTTAGTGTTTTTCCACGTACTCCCCCCCCCAAACGATAGTCCCCCCCCTACCAGTTTGCTGCGGGGAGTAGGGGGCCGCATTAAAAGGGCCCTGGGGTCACACTTGTAGAACCGCTCCCAAATCCCCCCTTTGGAAAATCCCGGTTTTCCAAAATCCCAGCACGCTGAGGAATGCACCTGTCCCCTCCGAGGGGGCTTTTTAAAAACCCACCTTTTTCCATTTGGGGTACCCCCAGGCGTGTTTTTAAATGGCCCTCCGGGGTTTATGTCAAAGGTGAGGGGTTTGTGGATTTTTTCCCCCACAAAAATGTGTTTTTGTTCAAAGGTTTCATTTTTTTCAACCCCCTTTCTTTTTTCGAAATAGCCCCTCCCTTGTTTCCTCATTTTCCCAAAAGGGTTAAAAAAAACCCGCCACCCAATTTAGTGATTTGCCTCCCCTCTTCCCACATCCGTAGGGGATTTTCATCCCCCCACCAAAATGTCCAAAATTTCGGGAAGGGGAAAACGTTTGTTTTTCCCGGGGAACAGTTTCTTAAGTACGGGGTAGACACCCTTGTTATTTCCCCGGGTCAATGGCCCACTAATCTACCAAATTACCCGGTGTCCTCCCCGGGGGCGTGGGGAACCCCGGGGGGGGGCCCCCCCAGGAAAGGGTGTAAACCAGGAGGGGGTCCGGGCTCGGGGCCAGAACAAAAACCCCCGTGTTTGTAGGGAGAGGTGACCCTCCAAACACCCGACTGGGGGGGAAAACCCTGGTGAGGGGAGAAAGGGCCCCCTTTTCTGCACAGGTTTGGGTGACCCCGCTACAGTGGGGGGAAGGAGGGGTCGTCCCCCATGTCCCCGGGCCCCCCGTTCATTTTCCCCCAAATGCCCCCCCCCCTGACCCGCGGGCAAAACCCCCCACCCCCCGGTAGGGGCCGGGAGTGCCAACATAAAACCCCCCGGAACTTGTGGCGGGGGTTTCCTCTTGTGGAGGGTGGGGGGAGAGTATTTTGGTTTTCCCCTAGCGGCTGAATGTTTTCTAGCCTCTCAAAAGCCCCCCTACTGTATTTTCCCCCTGAACAGGGAATCTCAATTATAAAACAGCGGGCTTCAATCAAAAAACCACCCCCCTTAATCCCAAAGAGTGGGGGAAAAAGGGCTGAAAAGGTTCGGGAAAAGTAAAAAGAAAAAAAAGAAGAAACCTGAAAGATACCCAGGGTTAGTTTGAATGTGAGGGGTAATTCTCACTGGTCTTTAAAAAGCGGGCTCCTCGGCAGGGTCCTTGATAACCACCTCTAGGTTGGGAAAGGTAACTTTCCCGTTTCTGTACAAAATCGTGGAGTTTAAAATTTACTTGTGGTAGCAAACAAACACCTGGGAAATGGCAATTTCCCCAAAACCCCCAATTTTTTTTTAAATAAAATAAAAATATAAATTAAAAACCCCCCTTTTGAAAGGTAGTTTAAAACGGGGAAAAATCTGGATAAACAAATTTTTTTGACCGGGCCCCAAACCATGAAGCAACTGAAACCAACTTTTTGTATTTGTTAAAGAGAAACACCAGATTTTTTTTCCCCCTTTTAAAAAGCACATCTAGATGTGGGGAGAAAGGTGAAGGGGGGAGGGGGCTATAAAGGCAGAGGGGGAGGAGGGGAAGAAAAGACTGTTGAGGGTAGGGGACTAGAGGTAGGGGGGGTAAAATTATGATGTACGTTTCGTGAGCAGAGAGAGTAAAAGGCAGGCACAGCATTGGTCCCCGCTAAAAAAAACCCCTCCAAAAAAAACGGGGTTAGGGGTTTTGTTACAAAAAGGGGGGGTTTTAGTCTTTGAAAAATTTTTAAAAATTTTTTTCGGGGGGGAAGTGGGGGGGAGGAATTTTTTCAAAACCCAAAAAAATCTTTCCCCCGGGATTTTTCTATAGGCAGGAATATCGGATGGGTTTTTTCATAGAAATTAGGAGGGCTACAAATCAACGAAAATTTCTACTAAACTAATAGTAAACAACTTAAAAAAACAGAACGAGAAACAATTTAAATTTTTTTAGATAAAAAATTTTCTTAAATGATAAAAAAAAAATTTTCGAAACAAAAAAATAAAGCGTTTTTTAAACCGAAATCAAAAATAAATTGCTCCTTTTTAAATTGCGGGTTTTTGTCTTTAAAATCCTCGCCTTTTTAAATTTAAAAAATGAAAAAAATCCCTCTCTTCTGCCCCCAAGGAAAAATTTTTCAATGCTGAGAACAACATAGGGAAACCCTTTAAAGAGTGGGGGGTATCAGTGAGAAAAAAAACGTCAAAATTGTCGGCGCTCGCTCCAACTCGAACAGAAAGAAGGTGGACTTCATGTGTCTCTGGTGGGACCTGGACTGGGGCAGTAGTGTCTCTTCTGGGGACCTGCTAGTGGCCAATACCTGGGACAGTACTTTGTTAGTAGTGTCTCTTCTGGGGACCTGCTAGTGGCCAATACCTGGGACAGTACTTTGTTAGTAGTGTCTCTTCTGGGGACCTGCTAGTGGCCAATACCTGGGACAGTACTTTGTTAGTAGTGTCTCTTCTGGGGACCTGCTAGTGGCCAATACCTGGGACAGTACTTTGTTAGTAGTGTCTCTTCTGGGGACCTGCTAGTGGCCAATACCTGGGACAGTACTTTGTTAGTAGTGTCTCTTCTGGGGACCTGCTAGTGGCCAATACCTAGGACAGACTTTGTTAGTGGTGTCTCTTCTGGGGACCTGCTAGTGGCCCAATACCTGGGACAGTACTTTGTTAGTAGTGTCTCTTCTGGGGACCTGCTGTGGCCAATACCTGGGACAGTACTTTGTTAGTGGTGTCTCTTCTGGGGACCTGCTAGTGGCCAATACCTGGGACAGTACTTTGTTAGTGGTGTCTCTTCTGGGGACCTGCTAGTGGCCAATACCTGGGACAGTACTTTGTAGTAGTGTCTCTTCTGGGGACCTGCTAGTGAGCAATACCTGGGACAGTACTTTGTTAGTGGTGTCTCTTCTGGGGACCCTGCTAGTGGCCAATACCTGGGACAGTACTTTGTTAGTGGTGTCTCTTCTGGGGACCTGCTAGTGGCCAATACCTGGGACAGTACTTTGTTAGTAGTGTCTCTTCTGGGGACCTGCTAGTGGCCAATACCTGGGGACAGTACTTTGTTAGTGGTGTCTCTTCTGGGACATGCTAGTGGCCAATACCTGGGACAGTACTTTGTTAGTAGTGTCTCTTCTGGGGACCTGCTAGTGGGCAATACCTGGGACAGTACTTTGTTAGTAGTGTCTCTTTCTGGGGACCCTGCTAGGGGCAATACCTGGGACAGTACTTTGTTAGTGGTGTCTCTTCTGGGGACCTGCTAGTGGCCAATACCTGGGACAGTACTTTGTTAGTAGTGTCTCTTCTGGGGACCTGCTAGTGGCCAATACCTGGGACAGTACTTTGTTAGTAGTGTCTCTTCTGGGGACCTGCTAGTGGCCAATACCTGGACAGTACTTTGTTAGTGGTGTGCTCTTCTGGGGACCTGCTAGTGGCCAATACCTGGGACATTACTTTGTTAGTAGTGTCTCTTCTGGGGACCTGCTAGTGGCCCAATACCTGGGACAGTACTTTGTTAGTGGTGTCTCTTCTGGGGACCTGCTAGTGGGCCAATACCTGGGACAGTACTTTGTTAGTGGTGTCTCTTCTGGGGACCTGCTAGTGGCCAATACCTGGGACAGTACTTTGTTAGTGGTGTCTCTTCTGGGGACCTGCTAGTGGGCCAATACCTGGGACAGTACTTTGTTAGTGGTGTCTCTTCTGGGGACCTGCTAGTGGCCAATACCTGAGACAGTACTTTGTTAGTAGTGTCTCTTCTGGGGACCTGCTAGTGGCCAATACCTGGGACAGTACTTTGTTAGTGGTGTCTCTTCTGGGGACCTGCTAGTGGCCAATACCTGGGACAGTACTTTGTTAGTAGTGTCTCTTCTGGGGACCTGCTAGTGGCCAATACCTGGGGACAGGTACTTTGTTAGTGGTGTCTCTTCTGGGGACCTGCTAGTGGCCAATACCTGGGACAGTACTTTGTTAGTTGTGTCTCTTCTGGGGACCTGCTAGTGGCCAATACCTGGGACAGTACTTTGTTAGTAGTGTCTCTTCTGGGGACCTTGCTAGTGGCCTATACCTGGACAGTACTTTGTTAGTGGGTCCTCTTCTGGGGACCTGCTAGTGGCCAATACCTGGGACAGTACTTTGTTAGTGGTGTCTCTTCTGGGGACCTGCTAGTGGCCAATACCTGGGACAGTACTTTGTTAGTAGTGTCTCTTCTGGGGACCTGCTAGTGGCCAATACCTGGGACAGTACTTTGTTAGTGGTGTCTCTTCTGGGGACCTGCTAGTGGCCAATACCTGGGACAGTACTTTGTTAGTGGTGTCTCTTCTGGGGACCTGCTAGTGGCCAATACCTGGGACAGTACTTTGTTAGTAGTGTCTCTTCTGGGGACCTGCTAGTGGCCAATACCTGGGACAGTACTTTGTTAGTAGTGTCTCTTCTGGGGACCTGCTAGTGGCCAATACCTGGGACAGTACTTTGTTAGTGGTGTCTCTTCTGGGGACCTGCTAGTGGCCAATACCTGGGACAGTACGTTGTTAGTAGTGTCTCTTCTGGGGACCTGCTAGTGGCCAATACCTGGGACAGTACTTTGTTAGTAGTGTCTCTTCTGGGGACCTGCTAGTGGCCAATACCTGGGACAGTACTTTGTTAGTAGTGTCTCTTCTGGGGACCTGCTAGTGGCCAATACCTGGGACAGTACTTTGTTAGTAGTGTCTCTTCTGGGGACCTGCTAGTGGCCAATACCTGGGACAGTACTTTGTTAGTAGTGTCTCTTCTGGGGACCTGCTAGTGGCCAATACCTGGGACAGTACTTTGTTAGTAGTGTCTCTTCTGGGGACCTGCTAGTGGCCAATACCTGGGGACAGTACTTTGTTAGTAGTGTCTCTTCTGGGGACCTGCTAGTGGCCAATACCTGGGACAGTACTTTGTTAGTAGTGTCTCTTCTGGGGACCTGCTAGTGGCCAATACCCTGGGACAGTACTTTGTTAGTGGTGTCTCTTCTGGGGACCTGCTAGTGGCCAATACCTGGGACAGTACTTTGTTAGTGGTGTCTCTTCTGGGGACCTGCTAGTGGCCAATACCTGGGACAGTACTTTGTTAGTAGTGTCTCTTCTGGGGACCTGCTAGTGGCCAATACCTGGGACAGTACTTTGTTAGTAGTGTCTCTTCTGGGGACCTGCTAGTGGCCAATACCTGGGACAGTACTTTGTTAGTGGTGTCTCTTCTGGGGACCTGCTAGTGGCCAATACCTGGGACAGTACTTTGTTAGGTGTGTCTCTTCTGGGGACCTGCTAGTGGCCAATACCTGGGGACAGTACTTTGTTAGTAGTGTTCTCTTCTGGGGACCTGCTAGTGGCCAATACCTGGGACAGTACTTTGTTAGTAGTGTCTCTTCTGGGGACCTGCTAGTGGCCAATACCTGGGACAGTACTTTGTTAGTGGTGTCTCTTCTGGGGACCTGCTAGTGGCCAATACCTGGGACAGTACTTTGTTAGTAGTGTCTCTTCTGGGGACCTGCTAGTGGCCAATACCAGGGACAGTACTTTGTTAGTGGTGTCTCTTCTGGGACCTGCTAGTGGCACAATACCTGGGCCAGTACTTTGTTAGTGGTGTCTCTCTTCTGGGGACCTGCTAGTGGCCAATCCTGGGACATTACTTTGTTGTGAGTGTCTCTTCTGGGGACCTGCTAGTGGCCAATACCTGGGACAGGTACTTTGTTAGTGGTGTCTCTTCTGGGGACCTGCTAGTGGCCAATACCTGGGACAGTACTTTGTTAGTAGTGTCTCTTCTGGGGACCTGCTAGTGGCCAATACCTGGGACAGTACTTTGTTAGTAGTGTCTCTTCTGGGGACCTGCTAGTGGCCAATACCTGGGACAGTACTTTGTTAGTAGTGTCTCTTTCTGGGGGACCTGCTAGTGGCCAATACCTGGGACAGTACTTTGTTAGTGTGTCTCTTCTGGGGACCTGCTAGTGGCCAATACCTGGGACAGTACTTTGTTAGTGGTGTCTCTTCTGGGGACCTGCTAGTGGCCAATACCTGGGACAGTACTTTGTTAGTAGTGTCTCTTCTGGGGACCTGCTAGTGGCCAATACCTGGGACAGTACTTTGTTAGTAGTGTCTCTTCTGGGGACCTGCTAGTGGCCAATACCTGGGACAGTACTTTGTTAGTAGTGTCTCTTCTGGGGACCTGCTAGTGGCCAATACCTGGGACAGTACTTTGTTAGTGAGTGTCTCTTCTTGGGGACCTGCTAGTGGCCAATACCTGGGACAGTACTTTGTTAGTAGTGTCTCTTCTGGGGACCTGCTAGTGGCTAATACCTGGGACAGTACTTTGTTAGTAGTGTCTCTTCTGGGGACCTGCTAGTGGCCAATACCTGGGGACAGTACTTTGTTAGTGGTGTCTCTTCTGGGGACCTGCTAGTGGCCAATACCTGGGACAGTACTTTGTTAGTAGTGTCTCTTCTGGGGACCTGCTAGTGGCCAATACCTGGGACAGTACTTTGTTTAGTGGTGTCTCTTCTGGGGACCTGCTAGTGGCCAATACCTGGGACAGTACTTTGTTAGTGGTGTCTCTTCTGGGGACCTGCTAGTGCCAATACCTGGGACAGTACTTTGTTAGTAGTGTCTCTTCTGGGGACCTGCTAGTGGCCAATACCTGGGACAGTACTTTGTTAGTGGTGTCCTTCTGGGGACCTGCTAGTGGCCAATACCTGGACAGTACTTTGTTAGTGAGGTCTCTTCTGGGACCTGCTAGTGGCCAATACCTGGGACAGTACTTTGCTTAGTTGTGTCTCTTCTGGGGGACCTGCTAGTGGCCAATACCTGGGACAGTACTTTGTTAGTGGTAGTCTCTTCTGGGGAACTGCTAGTGGCCAATACCTGGGACAGTACTTTGTTAGTGGTGTCTCTTCTGGGGACCTGCTAGTGGCCAATACCTGGGACAGTACTTTGTTAGTAGTGTCTCCTCTTCTGGGGACCTGCTAGTGGCCAATACCTGGGGACAGTACTTTGGTTAGTGGTGTCTCTTCTGGGGACCTGCTAGTGGCCAATACCTGGGACAGTACTTTGTTAGTAGTGTCTCTTCTGGGGACCTGCTAGTGGCCAATACCTGGGACAGTACTTTGTTAGTAGTGTCTCTTCTGGGGACCTGCTAGTAGCCAATACCTGGGGACAGTACTTTGTTAGTAGTGTCTCTTCTGGGGACCTGCTAGTGGCCAATACCTGGGACAGTACTTTGTTAGTAGTGTCTCTTCTGGGGACCTGCTAGTGGCCAATACCTGGGACAGTACTTTGTTAGTAGTGTCTCTTCTGGGGACCTGCTAGTGGCCAATACCTGGGACAGTACTTTGTTAATAGTGTCTCTTCTGGGGACCTGCTAGTGGCCAATACCTGGGACAGTACTTTGTTAGTGGTGTCTCTTCTGGGGACCTGCTTGTGGCCAATACCTGGGAACAGTACTCTTGTTAGTGGTGTCTTTCTGGGGACCTGCTAGTGGCCAATACCTGGGGACAGTACTTTGTTAGTAGTGTCTCTTCTGGGGACCTGCTAGTGGCCAATACCTGGGACAGTACTTTGTTAGTAGTGTCTCTTCTGGGGACCTGCTAGTGGCCAATAACCTGGGACGTACTTTGTTAATAGTGTCTCTTCTGGGGACCTGCTAGTGGCCAATACCTGGGACAGTACTTTGTTAGTGTGTCTCTTCTGGGGACCTGCTAGTGGCCAATACCTGGGACAGTACTTTGTTAGTAGTGTCTCTTCTGGGGACCTGCTAGTGGCCAATACCTGGGACAGTACTTTGTTAGTAGTGTCTCTTCTGGGGACCTGCTAGTGGCCAATACCTGGGACAGTACTTTGTTAGTGGTGTCTCTTCTGGGGACCTGCTAGTGGCCAATACCTGGGACAGTACTTTGTTAGTGGTGTCTCTTCTGGGGACCTGCTAGTGGCCAATACCTGGGACAGTACTTTGTTAGTAGTGTCTCTTCTGGGGACCTGCTAGTGGCCAATACCTGGGGACAGTACTTTGTTAGTGGTGTCTCTTCTGGGGACCTGCTAGTGGCCAATACCTGGGACAGTACTTTGTTAGTAGTGTCTCTTCTGGGGACCTGCTAGTGGCCAATACCTGGGACAGTACTTTGTTAGTGGTGGTCTCTTCTGGGGCCCTGCTAGTGGCCAATACCTGGGACTGTACTTTGTTAGTGGTGTCTCTTCTGGGGACCCTGCTAGTGGCCAATACCTGGGACAGTACTTGTTAGTGGTGTCCTCTTCTGGGGACCTGCTAGTGGCTAATACCTGGGACAGTACTTTGTTAGTAGTGTCTCTTCTGGGGACCTGCTAGTGGCCAATACCATGGACAGTACTTTGTTAGTGGTGTCTCTTCTGGGGACCTGCTAGTGGCCAATACCTGGGACAGTACTTGTTAGTGGTGTCTCTTCTGGGGACCTGCTAGTGGCCAATACCTGGGACAGTACTTTGTTAGTGGTGTCTCTTCTGGGGAGCACCTGCTAGTGGCCAATACCTGGGACAGTACTTTTGTTAGTGGTGTCTCTTCTGGGGACCTGCTAGTGGCCATACCTGGGACAGTACTTTGTTAGTGGTGTCTCTTCTGGGGACCTGCTAGTGGCCAATACCTGGGACAGTACTTTGTAGTAGTGTCTCTTCTGGGGACCTGCTAGTGGCCAATACCTGGGACAGTACTTTGTTAGTGGTGTCTCCTCTGGGGACCTGCTAGTGGCCAATACTGGGACAGTACTTTGTTAGTGGTGTCTCTTCTGGGGACCTGCTAGTGGCCAATACCTGGACAGTACTTTGTTAGTAGTGTCTCTTCTGGGGACCTGCTAGTGGCCAATACCTGGGACAGTACTTTGGTTAGTAGTGTCTCTTCTGGGGGACCTGCTAGTGGCCAATACCTGGGACAGTACTTTGTTAGTGGTGTCTCTTCTGGGGACCTGCTAGTGGCCAATACCTGGGACAGTACTTTGTTAGTAGTGTCTCTCTGGGGACCTGCTAGTGGCCAATACCTGGACAGTACTTTGTTAGTGGTGTCTCTTCTGGGGACCTGCTAGTGGCCAATACCTGGGACAGTACTTGTAGTAGTGTCTCTTCTGGGACCTGCTAGTGGCCAATACCTGAGACAGTACTTTGTTAGTAGTGTCTCTTCTGGGGACCTGCAAGTGGCCAATACCTGGGACAGTACTTTGTTAGTGGTGTCTCTTCTGGGGACCTGCTAGTGGCCAATACCTGGGACAGTACTTTGTTAGTAGTGTCTCTTCTGGGGACCTGCTAGTGGCCAATACCTGAGACAGTACTTTTGTTAGTAGTGTCTCTTCTGGGACCTGCTAGTGGCCAATACCTGAGACAGTACGTTGTTAGTAGTGTCTCTTCTGGGACCTGCTAGTGGCCAATACCTGGGACAGTACTTTGTTAGTAGTGTCTCTTCTGGGGACCTGCTAGTGGCCAATACCTGGGACAGTACTTTGTTAGTGGTGTCTCTTCTGGGGACCTGCTAGTGGCCAATACCTGGGACAGTACTTTGTTAGTGGTGTCTCTTCTGGGGACCTGCTAGTGGCCAATACCTGGGACAGTACTTTGTTAGTAGTGTCTCTTCTGGGGACCTGCTAGTGGCCAATACCTGGGACAGTACTTTGTTAGTAGTGTCTCTTCTGGGGACCTGCTAGTGGCCAATACCTGGGACAGTACTTTGTTAGTAGTGTCTCTTCTGGGGACCTGCTAGTGGCCAATACCTGGGACAGTACTTTGTTAGTGGTGTCTCTTCTGGGGACCTGCTAGTGGCCAATACCTGGGACAGTACTTTGTTAGTAGTGTCTCTTCTGGGGACCTGCTAGTGTGCAATACCTGGGACAGTACTTTGTTAGTGGTGTCTCTTCTGGGGACCTGCTAGTGGCCAATACCTGGGGCAGTACTTTGTTAGTGGTGTCTCTTCTGGGGACCTGCTAGTGGCCAATACCTGGGACAGTACTTTGTTAGTAGTGTCTCTTCTGGGGACCTGCTAGTGGCCAATACCTGGGACAGATGTTTTTACCCGGGGATTATTGCTAACCAAATTGATTTAAATTTTGGCTAAAATTCAAGTATTTTTGACGTCCCAGAAGATCTACACAAAACGTTAACACGTAACAAATAAAAGTGATTACTGACCTGCCGAGGTTAATGGCGTCCGTTTGAGTAGCTTTATTATAAAGTACCAATAGAATACCCTTCCCCCAACCTTGTGTGTCTACATATGTATCACTCTCTAGTAGAAGAGGGCTGGTAGCTCTGTAGAAGGTAGGGATGAAACCTCTTCCTACCTCTCTCCCTACATCTCTTCCTGCCTCATCACGCCTCTTTCCGTGTTTTGCTACAAGTTCCCTCCAGCTGCACTTAGAGGCTTCTTCTGGAGTGCCTTCATAAGGACCACGTGGCAGGAAATTGGAAATAAGAAACGCTTTCCAGCCTAATAAAACCTGAAGAATCAAGAAAGTAAACATATTGTAGAGTGGTATATTATGTAGTAGTAATTTAATTTCATATGGTGAATAATGAAATAGGGCCGTGGGGCTTGCAAATTATGAGATCTTCAAATGTTGGGCTCCAAACCTGGCCATTAGCTGTAACGTTCCCAATAATTCCCTTCTGGTAATATTTGTAGGAGTATCTCACGTGACCAGTGTTGCTGTGTCCTGTAAGTTACCATGGCAACTGTTAATATTTACACGGTAACCATGGCAACTGTTAATATTTACACGGTAACCATGGCAACTGTTAATATTTACACGGTAACCATAGCAACTGTTAATATTTACACGGTAACCATGGCAACTGTTAATATTACACGGTAACCATGGCAACTGTTAATATTTACACAGTAACCATGGCAACTGTTGATATTTACACGGTAACCATGGCAACTGTTAATATTTACACGGTAACCATGTCAACTGTTAATATTTACACGGTAACCATGGCAACTGTTAATATTTACACGGTAACCATGGCAACTGTTAATATTTACACAGTAACCATGGCAACAGTTAATATTTACACTGTAACCGTGGCAACTGATAATATTTACACGGTAACCATGGCAACTGTTAATATTTACACGGTAACCATGGCAACTGTTAATATTTACACGGTAACCATGGCAACTGTTAATATTTACACGGTAACCATGGCAATTGTTAATATTACACGGTAACCATGGCAACTGTTGATATTTACACGTAACCAGGCAACTGTTAATATTTACACGTAAACCATGGCAACTGTTAATATTTACACGGTAACCATGGCAACTGTTAATATTTATACGGTAACTATGGCAACTGTTAATATTTATACGGTAACCATGTCAACTGTTAATATTTACACGGTAACCATGGCAACTGTTAATATTTACACAGTAACCATGGCAACTGTTAATATTTACACGGTAACCATGGCAACTGTTAATATTTATACGGTAACCATGGCAACTGTTAATATTTATACGGTAACCGTGGCAACTGTTAATATTTACACGGTAACCATGGCAACTGTTACCATTTTTAGCTAAAATAAGCAGGGACAAAAGGGTTTCGCGATTGTTTTGGCCAAAAATCGCGATACCGCGAATTTTAACAGGCTATACATTAAACTATACATAAAATTTGTCGCAAATAATGGGAAAAATCGCGATTCCGTACATGCCGCGATTTCCTTTTGTCCCTGAAAATAAGTAAAGACAGGCACATGATCTTGTTATTGTTATGTTTCTATGCGTTTTACTGGTGTCTGGACGTAATCTACTATAGACTGTTTAGTGTTTCTTAGTCGTATATTGTCTGGGGAAATGACTCTTTCGGTTATGTAAATGTGCTACAGTGTTCACTGACACAACTAACATGACATAAAGTTGAGTAATATCAAAGTTGAGTTATTACACTACGTACCGTTGTCTTCAACCAGGATGTAAAGCTTCCTGCGACTAAATGAGAAGGTTTTGTAAGGGCGGTTTCGGGAACTGATCTGTACTTCACCGTCTTCTGTCATTACGTAAACCCTGTATATATATTAAATAATATTATTATATTTATATTATATAATATAGTAGTAGTACGCAGTGCTCAGTAGCTGATTTAGCCCCTTCCTTACATAATTATTAAACTAAATACACTAGTGCAGTATCACCATCAGTGCTCGATTATTCAATCGCTGGCGAGTCAAAGTTTTAGACAGAATGTAACCAGACTGTTATTTCTTCGGAGATGATTTTACACGAGGATTATTGCTAACCAAATTGATTTAAAAGTTGGCTAAAATTCAAGTATTTTTGCCTGACGTCAGCAACAGTTGCCATGGTTACCGTGTAAATATTATGGTTTTGCTGACGTCAGCAAAACCAGAAGGTCCCTTTTATCATCCAGTTAAATAAAGATCTAAAATTTAAAACGGGCCTTAAAATAATTACTCCTTCGTTAAAGAACTATTAAACTAACCCAATGAGTAACTTTCCATCACAGAAATACCAATCTAATTGAATAAAATTTGCCGTACATTTCGCAAAATTTGGCTGCAATTATATTGTATAATATGTTGCTTCTGAGGATGCCCCAACACCAGAGAATACTAAATTACAAAAATCGTTTTTTAAACCAAATTATTCTAAAAAAGCATTAACCTCAATTGCAATATTTTAATGAAGGGGCAAGCTGGAAATAATTTCCGATAGATTTTCGGAATGCTTAAAAAATTATTTAACTTTACTATGTCCTCAAATTGCAAATAAAATGATGTAAAATTGACTTGAAAAGCTGACTGCAGTACTTGGTAAAAAATGTATATACAATTATTTATTTATATTACTATTAACGAGTAGGGTCAATTTTGTTCGCTGCTGTAACATTTAAGACACGTGGAGTTTTTAGTCGTTTTAATTCTCCGCTGTTCTTATAGGTCATAGTAGATTATATTCTATTTTATATTATATTTTATATTATATTTTATATTTGCAAGTGTTTAGTTATAACTAAATATAATACTTTATCATTACTTTTCATTTATCTGAGGTGTAATATTGCCAGATCTCATCTCTTGTTATGTTACGGGGTTTTGTCAATATATTAAATGTTGCCGTGGGCTGGCGAGTTCCCATTGCCTGCCTCTTGGTATGTACCTGTCTCCGTAAAGGTCTATGTCAATAGCTGCTGGTAGAGGTATTTCCTCCGGTATCATAGTTTGGTAGACAACAACTCCGTGATTCTGAAACGTGTTGTTACATTATTTCATAATGGTAACACCCTAATAAAACTCTTAATCAAAATTACATGGTTTTCAACAGTTTAAGGTTGCAGTGCAGCAAACAGACAAATCGTAAAATTCGCTGCTTTGAAATTGAATAAAATTAACCTTTTCATTATTATTATTGACCAATACACTTTTAGAGCACTTTATGCTAAAATTTATAATATTTATAGTACAGATTTTTGCCAGTTAATAATCGGAGACAAATATCAAATATGGGTATGGTAGGAACCGATGTTTCCGAGTTGAAGCTTAAAAGTAACTAAAAGTAACTAAAAGTAACTAAAAGTAACCAAAAGTAACTAAAAGTAACTAAAAGTAACTAAAAGTAACTAAAAGTAACTAAAAGTAACTAAAAGTAACTAAAAGTAACTAAAAGTAACTAAAAGTAACTAAAAGTAACTAAAAGTAACTAAAAGTAACTAAAAGTAACCAGTACCTGTCCCATCTGTTCCATTGGAAGAGGTAACTCGCTTTGAATCACGCAGTTAGGGTCGTACTGCAGCAGTCTCACCATGTCAAATATGTTAATAACCTCCTCCAATTGTACCGGTCCAACGTGATGTTTAGTAGTGTTGTCAGGTATCGGGCGTGTCTTGCTGTAGTTACTGAGAAGTAGTTAGTAGCTGTAATTATGAGCATTAATTATATCCTAATCCTGTAATTATGAGCATTAATTATATCCTAATCCTGTAATATGAGCATTAATTATATCTTAATCCTGTAATTATGAGCATTAATTATATCCTAATTCTGTTGTGAAAGAGAAGAGATGGGAGTTCCACAAGATGGGAATCGACATGAGCTCGGCCTTCGATACCATAAAGAGATCAGTTTATCCTGGAACTTTTGGCTGGTGCTGATTGTTGTGAGGATGACATTCGTTTGGCGAGATACTTGCTCTCCAACACCAAATTGAGAATAAAAATCAACAACACCATTTCCTTAGAGTTTGAAACATCCGAGGGTTCGTTTCAAGGTGATGCTGCATCTGGTGCATTCTTCACACTGTACTTTGCTGGAGCTTTGTATCACTTCCGTGCAGTAGTGATTACCATTCGGCCTAACCCACCGTTCAACCCCGAGACCCTCATGCCTATTGAATGGGAATACGCCGACGATGGCAATTTTGCAGATGAGGATGAGGAAACTCTTAAAGAAATGCTGCCATATGTAAGGAGATCCTTGAAGAATGGAACCTGTTTGTGAACGAGGACAAAACAGAACATGTCCACTCTACATTGCAGATAAGGACGAGGGTAGACGCCAAGGGTGAACCCGTGAAGAACAGAGAGCCCTGGCGCAAACACTATTTCTCTTGGATCCAAGCTCTGCAGTAAGGCTGATATCTCTCGCCGATGCATCTTGCTTACGTTGCCTTTGAGAAATACAGCAAGGTATGGGCAGAGAAATCCCGCATTTCTCTTCCTGTAAAAATCAAGCTGTATGAAGCATTTTGTTACCCCTGTTTTTTGTACAACTGTAACAGCTGGGCACTCCACAGAACATTATCAAGTATAGTTGATGTGTGTCAACGCAAACATCTAAGACGTATCATCAACATGACCTATCCCCGCATTCTTCAGCAACAGAACTTGTATGCTCTTTGCATGTAA